AAATCACCATGGTTGATCTTTCTGGTGACCAGCTCCCAAAACTATCTAGGGCCCCACCGAGAGTCACCCCATTAGCATAAACTCAGGTGTGATCCAGGTGGCTCATGAATAACAAAAACACTTCTATGGCTCAGGCAATTCCAAGGGGTTTAGAAACTCCATGTCAGGAACCTGGAACAAAGACCAAACAAATTCTTTATTATGCAGCAGACATATTCAAGCAAAACCTGCAAAATGACATAAAAACAACACATATTTGCAAGACAAATAAGAAATTCTGTTTGTTATTTACCTAAATTTTAGTCTTGCTTATAGCTCTCTGTCAAGTATTTCTCCCAAGGTGCTAAATTCAATAAATATTCATTGAGCAACTCCAATATAGGATGCAGTATCATAACTAGGTTCCAGTCCTCACAAACCTGTCAGTCTAAAAGAAATGACAATGTTGGGTTTGGCAATCTCGTTCTGTGTTCTTGGTTCTTGGTGTGCTCTTGGTTGAAAAATGACCAGACACACCAAGGTAAGACAAACACAGGGTGAAATTCACTGACAAGGAGCAAGATAGAGTTATAGAACAAGAGCAAGATATAGGTTTACAGAGCCAGACACATACACCACAGATGATGACCAGACCCCTTGTCACAGCCAAAGAGACTGTGGTTATGGTCTGGGTCTTGTTTTATGGTGTCTGGATACAGACCTCTCCATGGTTCAGACATCATCATGGAACTGTTATGATGGACAGTTGGGAGTTCTATGACTTACTGTGCATATGGATCTCCCATGAGCCTCTCTGAAAGCCAGTTGTTCTAGGTCACTTTCCAGACTCTACGTACCTATGCTGCTTGGCCTGTGGGCTATAGACTCCTCTTATGTTCTTTTGCAGTTGGCATGATAAGTTCTGATTGGCAGATTTGTAGGGTGCCCCACCTCCCCCAGATACGGCAGTTGCCCACCTTGTCCCCAGGAGAGGCCAGAGGTCCCTAGCTGTCTGCCTAACAATAATCATGTTAAAATAGTAGCATCATAAAGATAGAAACAAAATACCTTTGCATATTTAAAACAGAAGCATTTAATAAGAGAAATCATGGGGATGGCTAGAGGGAGGCAGCACTTCAAAAGAGTCTTGAAGAATGAGCAGGCTTTCACTACAGGATGGAAAGTCAAGAACCTTCCTAGCCTAGCAAAGATACACAAAGACTCAGAAACTTGAACAAATGCTTGGTGAACCCACGGAGCTGCAGCAGAAGGCCTGTGGCTGGTATGTTGGGAGCTGAGGCTGGAGATGGTTGAGGCCTCAGCATGAGTGCTCTAAATTCTGTGCTGAAGAGTTTGAATGTCACTCTTCAAGCAGCAGAAAGCCACCAGAGATTTTTGAATTTTTTCCTCACACTCCTCTTTTTTAAGTTCTTCAGGAGCTTATAGACAAAAATCGAATCATGAAGAGATTACTGAACTAGTACAGACAAGGAACCATGATACTGAACCCAGAGCAGGGGTACCAGAAAACGGAACCAACGGAATTAGGTAACGGGTTGTCAGGGCAGAAATAAGGGGCCTTGCAGATGATTTCCGAATGTCCTGCCCACCTGCCTGGGAATATGGCATCATCACTGAAAGAAATGCAGAACTGCCTTAGTCTGCTCAGGCTGCTCTAACAAAATACTATCAACTAGAATAAGAAACATTTCTTGCAGTTTGGAGGTGGAAAAGCCCAAGATCAAGATGCCAGCTAATTTGGTTCCTGGTAAGGTCCATTTCCTGGCTTTCGGAAGGCCATATTCTTGCTGAGTCCTCACCATGGGCAGAGAGAGGAGGGGGAGAGAAAGAGCGGGAGGGTGGGGGTGGGGGGACTTTCCAGTGTCTTCTTATAAGGGCACTAACCCTATCATGTGGACCCCACCCTCATGATCTCATCTAAATCTTATTACCTTCCCAAGCCCCCATCTTTAAATGCCACCACAACGGAAGCCAAGGCTTCAGCGTACAAATTTTGGAGGGACATAATTCACTCAATAGCAGGAACCCAGAAGGGAGAAAAGGATCGCATTGGAAGAAGAAGGGCTTAGTTTATACAGGCGTCCTCAAACTACGGCCTGCAGGCCACATGCAGGTGTTTTTGCCCTTTTGATTTTTTACTTCAAAATAAGATGTGTGCGGTGTGCATAGGAATTGGTTCATAGTTTTTTTTAAACTATAGTCCGGCCCTCCAACACTCTGAGGGACAGTGAACTGGCCCTTGTTTAAAAAGTCTGGGAGCCCTGGTTTAGGACATACTGAGTTTGAGGTTTCCTCTGGTTACTCGGGTGATGATGTCTAGCTGGTAGCTGGAAACATGGGTAAAGAGCTTTAAATCAGAGCTCACGTGCTGTGCTTTCCTGGATATATACATCTTGATAGACATTTCTTAGAACTGAAAACCTCATCACCCAAAAGAGTAAATCTCTAATAGGAGTGATCAGTGCATCCTTATCTATTATAAGGCTAAGTGTGAGGGTTCTGGAGCTCAGTTGTCTGAGTTCAAATCCTCACTCTGCTTCTTACCAGCTGTGTGACTCTGCACAGGCTACTGAAACTCTCAGTGCCTTTTTCATGTGTAAAATGGTCATAGTAATAATACCTTTCTTCTACAGGTGTTGAAAGAATTAAAAGGATTAATATATGTAAAGTACTAAGACAGTAACTGGTATATATTAATTCTTTAATAAATGTTAATTAGTATTGTTACCCCAAATTATGCCTCTGGTAGTTATCTAAAATCTGAAATTCCAACATTAGAATTTTTCCTTTGGTTCTAAGATGTTCAGTCTATAAGTATTTTCTACCTTAATCCATAAATATATCTCTGATTTTAAAGACTAAATCTGCTGTGATATGCTTATGCATCTTTTAGTTAAACCTAGACGAATTTTCCCTGAATGAATGAGTCTTTGTGAGCTTACAATGCTAAATAATTTAGGATTGAGGGGGGAAAATAGAATTGAGGGGGAAGAATTCATTTAAAACAGAAACAAAAACACTTTAGTATGTTTACCTCAGGAATTGTGTAGCGAATATCCCTCCAAACAGAAGATAGACATATGTCGTGGGGCCTAATAGCAGCTGTAATAAGAGCAGACATTTTGGTGAGGTCTTTATGCAGAGTGAGGTGAAATTCAGTGCCAGGTAAAGTGACCTGTGCTGGACCTGCTTAGGCCCAACCTCAGCAATTGCTTGTCGTTTGGTTGGTGTATTAATAACAGATGCCATTTCTCGAATAACTATTTTGTCCCGGGGTTTTACGCATGGTTTCCCTTGTATAATCCTTTCATCAGCCCAGTGAGATCATCACTATCGTTTTGCCGGATGAGGAGACCATGTCTCAGAGAGCTGGTTATTTGTCCTGTGTCAAACTGTTGGTGGGCAGCTGAACCAGGACATAAGCCTCTCTGTGTCTGACACCAAAATCCTTGTTGGATTGGTAACCACCTTTGGTAACCACCAAACCCACCATTTTGAAGAAGTACCAACAGACACTGTATTCATGAATAAAATTACCTTTTGGGCCAGGCGTGGTGGCTCACGCCTCTAATCCTAGCACTCTGGGAGGCCGAGGCGGGCAGATTGCTCGAGGTCAGGAGTTCGAAACCAGCCTGAGGAAGAGCGAGACCCCGTCTCTACTATAAATAGAAAGAAATTAATTGGCCAACTAATATATAGAAAAAATTAGCCGGGCATGGTGGTGCATGCCTGTAGTCCCAGCTACTTGGGAGGGGACTTGCTTGAATTGCTTCAGCCCAGGAGTTTGAGGTTGCTGTGAGTGAGGCTGACGCCACGGGACTCACTCTAGCCTGGGCAACAAAGTGAGACTCTGTCTCAAAAAAAAAAAAATACCTTTTGGTTATTCATGACAATGAATTAGAGATAATATTATGGAATTTTAGAGCTCAGAATGATTTTAGGCATCATCTAGGTTAGACCCCTCATTTGTACAATCATAGGCACCAAAGAAGTCTTCACCCAAGTATAGAGAGTCTCTGATTCAATCCCTTCATCTTACAGATGAGGAAACTGGAATTCGTGATTCGTGTACAGTCATATTCTTTTTTTTATTTTTATTTTTTTGAGACAGAGTCTACTCTGTTGCCCAGGCTAGAGTGCCGTGGCATTAGCCTAGCTCACAGCAACCTCAAACTCCTGGGTTCATGCAATCCTCCTGCCTCAGCCTCCTGAGTAGCTGGGACTACATGCATGAGCCACCATGCCCAGCTAATTTTTTTTCTATGTATATAATTTTTAGTTGTCCAGCTTATTTCTTTTTTTTTTTTTTTAGTAGAGATGGGGTCTTGCGCTTGCTCAGGCTGGTCTTGAACTCCTGAGCTCAAACGATCTGCCCGCCTTGGCCTCCCAGAGTGCTAGGATTACAGGCGTGAGCCACCGCTCCCGGCGTCCAATCATATTCTAATAGCAGCTTGTGTGACACTGGCTGGTCTTTCCATCCTCTATCCCATAATATCTCTCTAGCTCACAGGTCCTCCACCGCCCCTAGGGCATAGACTCCAGAGGCAGGCTCTATTTATCCTTGTGCTGCATGTTCTAAAACCAAGTGAAGAAAGCAGACACAAAATTAAAATCCAAGCGGTCACCCAGGGCCCCCACTGGCTTTGGAGCAATACAGATAACAAATAAATAAGTTACCTCAATCTCACTAAAAACTTGCAAAATGGTGATTAAAACAGTAGGAGACCTTTGAGAGGTTTAGAACAGGACAGATGAGGTCAGAATAACTTATAAAAACAGTACACTTCAGTTTCATTTGAAATTTTATGACACTGTATATATAACTCTCTGGATATAAATGATTCAGGGTTCATATTTCTAAAAATACCAGAACAAAAGTATTACCTCCAGAAAAAATTGGTGGTTTGGTAACAAATAACACTATTGATCACAATTCTAAAGCCCAGCATCGCAATCGCCCACACACACGCCCTCGGCGTGATTCCCAAAGCGTCCCTCACCTGGTCCCACCTCTCTGCTTAGCGTCATTCATTTCCACTCTTGTTCATTCTTGTCGCTCAAAGATACTGAGATGCGCATTACTAGAATTCTGGACATGTCACACTCTTCTAAGGTCCCATTCGCACTCAGGCCGTTCCCTGTCTGCCATGCTCTGTGCCACATCCACCTCTTTATCGTCTTAATGCTGCTCATCTTTCAAGGTTCCGTTGGGCATCACCTCTTTGTGAAATCTTGCAGGGCCACATCTCACAGGACGGACTGGAATGCCATTGCAGGATACGCCGCACCACAGGGCACAGTCGTTGGCTCCTTTTTCTGCCGTTCCCGTTAGACTTTCAGGCCCTGAGAGCAAGAACTCTGTTCTATTCTGTCTTCTTCTTCTAACACCTAATAGTACAGGACATGTGACTGTGTGTAAAGAAACAAGAGTGTGCAGTTAGTTAATGAACTGACTTTTCATACTCAGATAAACATTCATAAGTGATTAATGTGTAAAACAACACCCTTGAGTGTTCTCCTCTTTCAAGTGTACTGGCACTTGTTATTTAAAGATCTGTTTAAAGGGCCATATCTAGACTGGCCAAAGAAGGCAAGAACAAAAAGGTTTAAATGTAATTTCTCTCAAGAAACATGATCTGTTTTAAAAACAGCCCTGTGGACCAGTCCCAGGAGAGCAAAGGAGAATAGAGAACCTTCTCACGAATCACCTCACTGAGTTGATTATTACTAAAGAACATGGAAGAAGGTTTATTTGAAATGAAAACACTGGGAAATGAGAAACATAAAAATTATGTAGACATGGCTAAACAAGCAAAGAATGCTGAATACTAAAAGAGATAATTTGAGTTTGGCACTAAAACATAGGCTATGTTTCTCAAAGAGGAAAAAAATGTGATCAAAGAGATTAGAAAGAACGAGGATTTGGGCAGAAAATTCTAGAAGACATTAAATTAGAAGTCTCATTTGCTCAGACTGTACTGTATTTTCTTCGAGAATGCAAGTTTCTAACCCCATAACTGTTTTTATTGAACACCCACAGCGAACGCGGCTTTGTGCGGCTGTGCCTAACAAAACACTAGCATAAATCCTTCAGCAAGCATGGCCAAAGGAGCACTGTGCCAACAATGAATTAGGTTTTCCTCTCATTCTCCTTTCTAGGGGTGAAAATGTTGGAAGTATTATGTCTAATAAATTGAAACCTGACATACATCTACTAGGTTCAGAAGAATCCATTGCAAAACATGCCTCAAATAAAACTATCTGGTCCCTTGCATTATTTTCTGAAGCATTTGCAAACACATCAAATCTAAAAATAGGTTTAAAAAAAACACAGTTGTTATCAATTTTAAAAGAACTCAAAGTTAACTGCTATATAATCTTGAGCAGAGAGAAAAGGTCCAGTAATTGCACAAACTTTAATTTAGCAAAATCTCCTGCTGAATATCCTGTAAACAAAAAATACTCAATACCTGTAATGCCAGGAGCTTCAAGAAGGGCTATGTCAATGACCATATAAAAACCTACATAAATGTGGCACTCAGGGCTAATGGCAATATCGATAACGGAATCTGGAATAAGATCTATGAAATTGAGAGGTAAGAGTTAGGATGCTTAAAAACCATAAGCTTAAGAGAATGCTTATAATTTCAGATTTTGGGGGTACTGTAACAAGTCAAGAAATTCTGATACACTTTAATATTTTGGGGAATTATTTTTGCATCTGATAGTTCACCAAAATTTAGGGTTTTAATTCCTCCATCTAAAGCCTAACATTTTTTGAGCACCTACTATAAGCCAGGAATTTGATGAATACAACTCAAGACCTGCTCTCTAGGAGCTCACACTCCTGTAGTGGGAATTGACGTCTAACTAATTATGAAACTGAAGGACAACCATTTCAAAGATGAGAATGTTGGCCAGGAGAGGGTTCTCTCTCTCTCTCTCTGCTGGCATTCTGGGGGAGCTGATAACTGAAGAATAACTTTTGATAGAAAAGGAGGGGATGGGCCTTCCTGGAAGTGGGAACAAATGCTTTATGTCACAAAGTAGGTTATAAATTCATTGAGGACAGAAACTGTCTTTTATTTCCTTATATAATTCATATTGCATAGCAAAATTTTAATAATTATATTTTGATTAATTCCCAAAAATAATTTTGCCTTACAAAGCTTAGGTGATTTGGAATTTGAAAAATTGGAGGCATCAGGTAAAAGAGGAATAAATGGGACAATAAGAAGTAAAATTTTCACAAAGCTAAAAATAGTCATTAATGTCTCTTAATAAGAAAAACATAATCATAGGTAGATGTAGTGTTGACAGAAGTAATTTTGAAGCCAGGTTTTTTCCCGTTTTGCTGACTCACGTAGCTCATAACGCACTGCAATTGACGCTGGCCAGGCGGGCCCTTCCCTCTGCAGACCCAGCGTGGGCGGGTCCCTAGGGCGGACGCCAGAGGTTTAGCTTGCATAGCTGGCTCTAGGAGAAAGAAATAAAAGGTTTAAAATAATTTTGAGCTTGAGTTCAGCTGAGAGCTTTAAGGCTTTACGATTGAAAAAAGGAATCAGAAAGAAAAAATGAAGGAGAAATAGAATTAAAAAAGGGAAGGAAGGAGGAAGAAGGAAGAAAAGAATATTGTGGGAAATACTAAAGAGCCACAGATATTCTATCACTAGAATCCAGATTGCCACCGACATGCCATAGCAGAAAAATCTTTGTGTAATGTCACCATTAATCACTAAAGATTTAGGCACTATTTGTATGCCAAAATGCACAGAAATTCATGCAAGCTACATCTTAGTCTTTTTCTTTTCTTTTTCTTTTTTTGGACAAAATTGAGTTCCTGATGCACCTTAGCTTTCTTCTGCAATAAATATGGGGGTGCAGATATCTCTTTTAATACATATTGATATCGTTTCCTTTAGCTATATATTCAGTAGTTGGATTGTTGGGTCATATGGTAGTTCTATTTTTAATTTTTTGAGGATCCTCCATACTGTTGTCCATAATCGCTATACTAATTTACATTTGAACCAACAGTATATAAGATTTCCCCTTCTCAAGCAAAAAATAAAAGAAAAAAAGCTTAAGATTTTTCTTTTTCACAACCTTCTTAGCATTTGTTGTTGTTTTTTTCAAAATCTTTTTGAGAATAGCCATTCTAACTGATAAATATCTCATTGTGGTTTTGATTTGCATTTCCTGATGATTATTGATGCTTTTGTGTTTGTTTGGTTTTTGTTTGTTTGTTTTTGTAGAGAGAGGATCTCGCTATGTCGCCCAGGCTGGTCTCAAACTCCTGGCCTCAAAAGATCCTCCTGCCTCAGCCTTCCGAAGTGATAGGATTACAGGTTTGAGGCACCGTGCCAAGCCAATTATTGATGCTTATTGCTGCACAATTCACAACAACCAAGATATGTAATAAACTTCAGTGTCCATCAATGAATGAATGGATTTTTTTAAATGTGGTATATATATACACAATTGAATACTATTCAGCAATAAAAAAGAATGAAATCCTGTCATTTGCAATGATATAAATGAACTTAGAGAAATGCTAAATGAAACAAGCCAAGCACAGAAGTATAAATACCACATGATCTCACTCATATGTGGAATCTAAAGAAGTTGATTTCTTAGAAATAGAGAGTAAAATAGTGGTTACCAGAGGCTGAAAAAAGTGAAAGGCACATGAGAAGAGGTTGGCCAACATGTACAAAGTTACGTTTAGATGGGAAGAATAACTTCTGGTGTTATGTTACACAGTAGAGTGACTATAATTAATAATAACATATATTTTTAAATAGCTAGAAGAGAGGATTTTGAATGTTTTCACCGTAAAGAAATGACAAGTGTTGGAGGTGAATGATATGCTAATTACCCTGATATGATCATTACACAATGTATACCTGTATTGAAACATCCCACTCTATCCCATAAATACGTATAATTATTATTTGTAAATTAAAAACAAAACTTTAAAAAATAATTGTTGTCTTCTGTTCTTTATGATTTGAGATGCATGTTTGTTTTGACTTCCTTGTTTAAAATGTGTCTGTCTTCCTCAAGATCATCATCGGCTGCTTCTTCAAGTCAACAGTCATCAGCCTCAGCACTCTTGTTTACTAGGTTAGTAGATGCTATTGTCCAGGAAGCACTAACGAGCCAGGAAAGGTACTGGATCCACTCAGAAGGTAAGAAAATGCTTAGCTTCTCCACTAATGCTGGAATATCCCTTTGTCTAGGAATCTACTACAATATACCTACCAGACGAGGCGCAATCCAGGAATATATACTTTAGCATCCAGTAATATATAAGGATAATGGATTTTTAGGCCAGTTTTATGAGGGACAAATCCTTGGTCTTGAAAGTGTGATATGATGGATACAAAAATTGGGGGACAATGCCATTCAACAGCCAGTCCCCTCCCAATCCCTAAATAGGCTTTTTGTGTCAGGCCATCACTGCTGTACAGGACAACATGGCTTGTCTTTTAAGTAGCAATTGCCTGGTTTTCTTTGTTTATTTCATTAACTGTTTTGAGACTGAATGAGCCTTTTCACTATTCATTTAAATAGCTATTCTGAAACATCACTGTTTCCTCTAGATACATTTTCAGTTTATTCTATAAGCTCTGTTAAAGAGGATGCAAATTCAGGGAGTTATTTCATTCCTCTCCAGAATTCTGAGCAAAAGAGTAGACTGGGTGTGGAGTCTCTGCACCAAGCCATCAGCAGAGCGCTCTGAAAACAGCAGCAGTCTATTGAGAAAGATAAACGGTAATATCATTCTTATTTTTTCTGTTTTCTCAATAAGGAAAATTAGGTGCTCACAAAAATATGTTTTACCTAAAATGTTTATGTAGAAAAAAAAATCTTTTTAATTAAGTCATAATGGTAAGAATCAAAAAGAAAAAGAAAATTCTAGTTGTGGTTTCTTAAATCTTCACCATAGGTCACCTTACCAAAAATACTTTGTAAATGTGACCATCTTTCCCCAGAGACTTTCATGCACGCAGCGCTTGCAGATCCACCCATGCAAACAGCAGCTCACCAGAGGGCGAGCAATAGAATATTAAAGTCGTGCTCAGTGGTCGGCAAATCAAGGCTGCAATGATGCAAAATGGCTTCCGGGCAGTGTTCACTTGTCTGCGTCGCATTGCAGCGCGTCCCCTAAATTTCCCGCCTGTCACTCAATCCAATCAACCGTCCAACGAAAACGGCTAAAGCAGCCACCGATTTCCAGGCACCGCTCTGAAAGGCCTGCCGCGGGCTGGACGCCTGTGCTCCCGCGGTCCCCTCGGGGCAGCGCGCCACGGCGGTGGCTGCGGCCGTGCAGGGACCCCGCGGCCGGACGGGACCCGCGGCCCGTGCAGGGACCCGCGGCCGTGCAGGGACCCGCGGCCGGTGCAGGGACCCGCGGCCGGAGCAGGGACCCGCGGCCGTGCAGGACCGCGGCCGGTGCAGGGCCCGCGGCCGTGCAGGGACCCGCGACCCGGCTGCAGGGACCCGCGGCCCGTGGCAGGGACCGCCCGGCGGAGCAGGGACCCGCGGCCGGCAGCAGGACCGCGCGGTGCAGGACCGCCCCGTGCGGGACCCGCGGCCGGAGCCAAGGGACCCCGGCCGGAGAAGGGACCCGCGGCCAGGAGCAGGGACCACGCGGCCCGTGCAGGGACCCGGGGCCGGAGAGGGACCCGCGGCGGGCAGGGAAACCGCGCCGGTGCAGGGACCCCGCGGCCGGGTGCAGGACCCGCGGCCGGAGCAGGGACCCGCGGCCGGAGCAGGGACCCGCGGCCGGTGCAGGGACCCGCGGCCGGAGCAGGGACCCGCGGCCGGTGCAGGGACCCGCGGCCGGAGCAGGGACCCGCGGCCGGTGCAGGGACCCGCGGCCGGAGCAGGGACCCGCGGCCGGAGCAGGGACCCGCGGCCGACCAGGGACCCCCGGCCCGTGCGGGACCCGCGCCGGTGCAGGGGACCCCGCGGCCGGAGCAGGGACCCGCGGCCCGTGCAGGGACCCGCGGCCGTGCAGGACCCGCGGCCGAGCAGGGACCCGCGGCCCGTGCAGGGACCCGCGGCCGGAGCAGGGACCCGCGGCCCGTGCAGGGACCCGCGGCCGGAGGCAAGGGACCGCGGCCCGTGCAGGGACCCGCGCCCGTGCAGGACCCCGCAAGGCACGGAGCAGTGACCCCGCGGCCCGTGCAGGACCCGCGGCCGCGCGCTCGCGGGAACGCCCGCCCGCCCAGAGGCTCGCCGCCGGTCTCGCCCGTCTGCGCGGTCCCCACGGTCGTTAGGTCGGGGTGGTGCGAGGGCCGGGTCCGCGGTGTTGCGGGTTAGTGTCATGCCTGCGCGGCCCCTGACCGTGGGGCCTGGGTCCTCGTGGCGGAGGCGGTCCATGGGCCGGGTTCCTGTCCGGACCCACGTCTCCTGGGCCTGCGGAACGAAGGCCAGCGGAGCTTCTCGAAGCTCCAAGGTGCTCCACAGCACGTGGGTTTCAGCCAAGATGGGCCCGCATTTTGACGCTTCTTTAAACGGCTGTGTAAATCCAGAGCGCATGGCGTTCACTTTTAGGCCCACATTCTCGTAGAGACCTTTAGAACTAGCTCGCAATAGCAAAGTCAGTGAAGCCTTAGAAAAAGTGTAGTCCTATCTTCTTCTCTGAAAGGCGTAAAAACTGTGACTCAGAGTGCTGCAGTGGGTTACCTAAGAACAGCTGGACAAAGTCCTGCCTCAAATCGCCTAACGAATCTCCGGCAGCCCCTTTGACGCTGAGCTCAGAGACAGTCCCCAGATATCATGACAGGTACTAGGGTGGGACCCAAAGCGGCGCGTCGGCTGGACACTTCGCAATTTCCTACCCGGCGACGCGCGCTGTCATTAGCGTGCATTCATCCGAAGAAAGTCTCCGGGAATAGGCTCCTCATTATTCTGCAACAGAAACATTCATCAGATATTGAGGATAGCCGAATAGGCTCCTTTGCTGCTGCTATTGATAAAGGTTTAGAGCAGAGGCTGGAAACAGACCATCACAGGCTGGATTCAGCCCTAGATGCATTGGTTTGGCAAACTGTAAGTTAGATATTTTTTAATTAACATTTTTAATTTGAGAGGTTTTAACGAATAATCAGAATATTTCTCATTTAAAAAAATTATATAGACTGTGAATTCTGCAAGGAAAAAAATCATATCTGTCAGCACAGGCACTACATATCTCCGCAGTCACTAGAGCTGAGCTGCTCCTCTGCCCCAGACACGTGCTCCTTGCTTTACCTCTTCTTATTGTCTCTTGTTACTTCCAGCTTCTCCCATTTCTGTTACTTGAACCTGCCTGGTTCCTATGACATCTGAATTTGCAATATATGTTTTTTTTTTTTTTCTTGGAGACAGGGTATAGCTGTGCCACCCAGGCTAGAGTGTAGTGATGTCATCATAACTTACTGCAACCTCAAACTCCTGGGCTCAAGTGATCCTCCTGCCTCAGC